ATTTGAGAGATACGATAAAATGGGGAACTGATTGGTTAATAAATGCTAGTTCGAATACGAATAATACAGCAAATCAATATTTATATGTAATGATTGGTAACATTGATTCAGATCTTAATTATTGGGGGCCCGATACTAAGTATTTATAATGTATATTCGATTACCATAATTATTTCAAACCATTCAATAATCGATTATTTATACTATCTTTAGTATTCCTACTCCACGTCCATCGTTAAAGGTTAACTCCTCTGCTCACGGTACTGATGTTTCAGGAGAGACTGCTGCGGCAATGGCTGCATCATCTTTATTATTTCGTAATCAGTTTAATGATTCTGACTACGCCAATACTCTTTTAACATATGCGAAAAATTTATACTTATTCGCTGAAACGACACCTTTCACATTATATCAGAATTCAGCGCCACAAGTTAAAGACGCATATAGTTCTTCTAATTATACTGATGAATTGGTTTGGGGTGCCCTTTGGTTATATCGTGCGACAAATGACACGAGTTATCTTAACAAGGCCACTGGTTATTTAAATGCTAATTCATTTAAACTGAAGAAAGTATTTAACTGGGATGATAAATCTGGTGCGTGTTTAGTATTGCTTGCCCAATTACTTCAACAATCTGGACAGGATTCAGGCAGATGGAAGTCTGAGGCGGAAAGATACTTGGATAATGTTATAAAACCATCTGATGGTTGCACATTTACTGGTGGTGGTCTTTTTTGGTGCGATGGAGATAGTAATGATGCATCATTAAGCGCATCTCTTGGTAATGCTTTCCTGTGTCTAGTTTATGCACCAATCGCTACTTCATCTGCTAAGACTCAAGCATATATGAATTTCGCACTGTCACAAATTGATTACGCACTTGGTAAAAATCCTATTAACACACCATATGTCATTGGTGTTCATCCAAACTCGCCACAGGATCCTCATCATGGTGGTGCGAGTGGAGGAACTGATATATCTAATTTGGGTAATCCGCCTCAAACACTACATGTTTTATATGGTGCAATTGTAGGTGGTCCAGATAAGGATGACCAATTTAGCGATTCAAGAGCTGATTATGCCGAAACTGAGGTTATAATTTAATTTATTAATTAACATTATTCTTAAATTGATTAATGCCTTTTTTTTTTTTTATTTACTTATTTATTTATTTTTTATTTATTTAAGGTTGCACTGGATTATAATGCAGCATTTCAAAATTTAATGGCGTACCAAATGATCAATTCTCATAGTGATCCATATTATGTCAATGTTCCTCCCGGCAGACCAACAAAAAAGATCAATATTGTCGCTATTATTATCATTGTTATCTTATGTTTGTTATTGCTTATTGTCGCTGCACTTTTATTCTGGAAGCGTAAAAAGATTGTAGCGTGGTGGAAAAGGCGAAGGCAAACGAAATCTAATGGGCAATACTCCTCATAGTAGATATTATAAGGGATTTTAATTGATATCATCGACTTTTCATCTCAAAAGACAATTATATTAAAAATATTTCGCAACATTAGAATAATTATTTAAATTTCTGCATCACACCATTTTAGT